GGCACTTGATGTAGCTGAAAGCTGGAAGCGACAAAAATGAAGATTTTAAGATCAATATCAAAAGTGAAGTACGATCTGGTGTCAAATGCTGTTTCAAGAGAGAGACAGATCAGAATATCCAATTAAAGTGACCGATCGGCTGCAAACAAGGCGTTTAAGATGGTGGGGCCACTGCCAACGAATGGAAGATAGCCGTCCTGCGAAGCGGACGCGAAGAAGTGGAATGACATCGAAGGGACTGTAAATTGAACATATGTTAATTCAGACTGCCTCCCGGCGGCAACCGACGTCGTTTTCAATGCAATCGGATGAGAAGAAAATGAACTGGTAGATGTCTGACTGAACACCAACAGCTATTCTTGTAACATTGAGGATCAATTCACCGGTGCTGTGAACTCAGTTCTCCTCAGATCCTGTCCAGGTTCACAGTTTCACAGTGACTGTAGCGATCGGGATTACAGTGACTGACAATTTCGAGCAATACGGTTGGATTGTTTGGTACGTTCTAAAGGCCTCGTGGCCTCATCTAAGCCATTCGCGAATATTTTTCTGCAAATCTGCAGCAACAGATCACAGATATAACGCGTAATCTTTATGCCTGATTGAGGACATGAGTTTATGTGACATATTTCAGCGACGTATGGTATATACGCAAGCAGTGCACTGTTACTTCGATTCAATTCGATCTAAACATATAAACCTTGAGGTCTGGTGAGTTACACGACGGCTAAAGTAAAATCCTGAAGCACATTAACTTTATTATAAGGATTTTATCATTTTAAGCGGATGTCAGCACAATTCACAGTTTGTTCTGGTATTTTATCTTCAAGTTTTCTCTGAAAGCTGCGATGCGAAAACTGGACCTGTGGAATTGACGATCCGGAACTTGTGACTGACAACGGATGATGCCAATCACATCTGCATATCTCAATTAGCCGTTTGCTCCCCATTTCGATAATTTCTGCATCAGACCTGCTTGGGTCTTCGAACAGATGAACAGTCGCATATAATATCGCTATTTTGCGCTTTAAAATCATCATCGACGTTCCTCGACTTATTGATTGTTGAATAAAGGAATTCGAGATTTCGGAGCAAAAGTTTGGCTCTGTAGTTCTTATTCACTTGTTCTAATGAATTTCTTCAGTTCATCCTGCTTTCGATCAGAAGGTCTTCCCATAAGCCGTTCATTGGAATTCTTGGAACCTAGTCTTGGCATTTTCAAATATCAGTGCCACACACACACACACACAAACACACATGCCATAGCTCACGTGACTGAGTGTGCTGCAGAACGAAATCGACAAGCGTGAAGTCAAACAGGAAACGAACGTGTAGCTGGTCGGCTAGTTTGCTTACACGAGGCCGCCCTCTTTTGGCGGGTGTTGGCACACGTTCAAAATACGAATATTTCGTCGTGTTAACATGTGTTTTTCAGATGAAGTACCGACGGTACGTTCGAATGAAATCGATATGTGATGGAAACGAAAAGAAGTGGCCAGCTCCGGGCAGCAACACGCAGGGTTCTGGTGCCACTGACCTTGACCAAAAGTCATCGACCCATAAGTTCACGTGTACGGAAAAAAGTTACGAAACGTACGCGTCGTTACCGTTGAATCTCTCACTGCCGAATAAACGCCGCAAGGAGATGCCGTCCAAGAATCTGGTGCAGGCGCTGCTCGAGGTAGACAACCTCGAGTCGACGGTCAGGCTCGACGGACTGGCTTTGGACGAGGTGAAGGACACGTGGAAGAAGCTGGCCCAGATCGGCGACGAGATCGTGCAGAAGCTGGTCGAGTGGACCAGGCAGTTGCCGTTCTACGACGAACTGGCCACCGACACGTTCACCAGGCTGCTAGAGCAGAACTGGTCGCAGCTGGTGCTCATCAGCGTCTCCTATTACATCTGCAACCACCTCGACAACAGCGAGCAACAGCAGCGCGGCAACCGGCCCCGGTGGTCATTCGCCGACTGGCGCCACAACCTCTGCCTGCTGACCAGACGCATCTCGGACATCATGGGCAGGACGTTGTCCGCCCAGCTGGTGCAGAAGGAG